ACGAGTGCAATCGTACCACTACAGCCCATACAAACGACGTAAAAGTGCTTTGAAAGATGTCGGCGGGTCCACGGAGCCAGAGCCGGAGCCGGCATGTTCGCCAAAGACCCACCGCGACCGCCCCTACTAGGCAACCCCCTAAGTGACCACAGCCCACAGGAAATGTAGTCCTGATTGTAGTCCTGATTGTGTTCACCATTTCTCATGGACCAACATAGTGCCGCCACCAACCACATGTAGTCCGAGTCGTCGGAGCAACTACAAAGAGGCACCGGAAGAGAGTTGGGGAATAGGCAAGCCTATTCTTCCCACATCAGAATTTTGATGAGGTATGTGTTGTGTGTTAACATGGTTGGAAGGATTGCCTCCAGAAAAATACATGCTTGAAAATAGGGTGAAGCTCCGTGAGTCTTGTATAGTCATACAAGTACAGAAGATTCTCCATAGAAAGAAAATGCAAATAGGAAAAGAATGATTTTTCTCAAAAAAACAAAAAAGTTAGCCCATACAGGTCTTGAACCTTCTCCATAGAAAGAAAGTGCAAATAGGAAAAGAATGATTTCTGTCAAAAAAATCAAAAAAAATTGGCCCATACAGGTCTCGAACCTGTGACCTTCGCGTTATTAGCACGACGCTCTAACCAGCTGAGCTAATAGGCCTGTTGAGCTACGTATCGAATAGCACCTTATTGTTGAACGATAAAGTGTACATTGGACAACACCGCTCGGCTTGCTTGCGCCGGCAATGGCCGATAAACTCCACACGCGCGCGCTCTGACACTTGAACTCCTTCCCGCGTGCAGGGCGACCGGACGCTGGGCAACTACGTGACAGACAGGGGCTTCCCGTCGAACCTGGAGCCGCTCATGTTCGGGCGCGCGCTGCGGGGCGAGGACCCGCTCACCCGCGCCGCGCTGGTGGTGAAGCAGGTGATGCGGCAGCTCGTCACGTCGCTCCGCCGCATCCACGACACCGGCATCGTCCACCGCGACATCAAGCCCTCCAACCTCGTGGTCACCCGCCGGGGCCAGGTCAAGCTCATCGACTTCGGCGCCGCCACCGACCTCCGCATCGGCAAGAACTACGTGCCCGACCGCACCCTGCTCGACCCGGACTACTGCCCGCCCGAGCTCTACGTGCTCCCCGAGGAGACCCCCACGCCGCCCGCCGAGCCCATCGCCGCCATCCTCTCCCCGATCCTCTGGCAGCTCAACAGCCCCGACCTCTTCGACATGTACTCGGCCGGGATCGTGCTCATGCAGATGGCCACGCCGGCGCTCAGGTCCCCCTCGGGCCTCAAGAACTTCAACTCCGAGCTCAAGGCCGCCGGCTACGACCTCAACAGGTGGCGGGAGACCACGCGCCGCAGACCCGACCTGCAGATCCTGGACCTCGACTCCGGCAGAGGCTGGGACCTGGCCACCAAGCTCATCTCGCAGCGGGAGAAGGGACGGCTCTCCGCCGCCGCCGCGCTCCGGCACCCCTATTTCCTGCTCGGTGGAGATCGGGCCGCCGCCGTCCTGTCAAAGCTGCAGCTCACCAAATAATTGATATGTCTGTCTTCTTTGAACGAGCGATCAAACCCCTGCATATAGTTTCTATATAGATCTCCATCCCATAAATTCTGTCCTGAGTCCTGACATGAGTGAGACGCAAGATCACCAATGGCATTGGCAATTTTGTTGTACAGTCATGATTCATGAGATCTCAAGGCATCTGGCTGGTGTCAATCAATCAGTACATTGTTTTTGTGCGAGTTCATATGGACAGCGTGTGTGGTGCAAAGTTACAGATGCTGGGCTAACTTAATTTACTGCTGATCGAGTGTGGACGCTACCAAGAAATCCTACTTCTGCTGGTCAGTTTCTCGAACCTACGTATGCCGCCGAGCAGGCTCTTGCTGATGCTCCCAGACAATGGAGGCCGTGCTCATACTGAAGCTCTATTGACTGCCAGGCAGGAACATCAGGTTTTGTCCTCGAAAGACTGTTTACTCATGACGTCGTCACCTGGCCGGCAGTATGGTTCGAACTTCTGCTGAAGATCGGCCTGGTTCCCCCCCACCAGCTTGTCGATCTCCTCCTTATCTCTCAAGAAGATGAATGTCGGCGTGGCACGTACGTCGAATTGCGTGACCAGTTCCTGACAAAAAAACATGTATCCAAATGACATTTAGTTTGAGCATTCGCTCAAAGCTAAATTAGTAATGGATCGGCGGAACATTTGTGTACCGGTAGTTCGTCCACGTCCACAGACACGAAAACAAGATCGGAATGCTTCAAAGAAAGTTCGGCGTACGTAGGAGCAGCGATCCTACACGGGCCACACCATACTGCGCTGAATTTTACAACAAGCTGTGCAGTTGAAAAATGTTGGCATGGTTAATGAAAACAGCTGCAGGAATTCCAAATTGGAAAGCCACATGCACCCATATATCCTTGTGTCCAGAGTATGAGTTAGGTTGTAGGCTACTTACTGTTTTATTGGCGTCAGCTGCATCTTCCACTTTCTTCTCCCAACTCTTTAGATCGGTTATAAGAGTCACATTCCCAGAGCTGTAATCTAGGTGTTCCTCCTCATCTACAGGGTTCTGCAAAGGGAAGCATAACCAAAGAGCTCGATTTACTAATGTATAACTCGATAAACGGCTTCCTTTGGGCCTTACAATCAGTTGACCAGCAAAAAAAAGCACTACGTAGCATGGCAAGCAAACACAAGCTATGCAATAAAGATGCTAGTGCACGATTCAGTTATCAAAGTTGCCAGTTGTAAATGAGATGGATGTGAGTAAAAACTACTCACGCTGCCGCAGCATCCCATTGGTTCGAGCAAATCCGTCAGGATGTCCGGATTCCTGGACTCTGGTAGACGAGGAGGAAAAAGAGGTATATATTTTCAGTGCTGATTTCACTATTTGACTGAATAAAAGCAATACGCTATGCCATAGCATGATACCAATATATCAAATATGATTAACATAGCTAGCTCTAGATGGCGAAATGGTGAATATAAATATGTACTACTCCCTCTGTAAAGAAATACAGTATAAGAGAGTTTAGATCACTAAGGGAGTACCTCTGTTCTTAAATATAAGATGTTTTGACAGTTTAAATTGAAGTGCCAAAACTTCCTATATTTAGGAACAGAGGGTGTACATACAAATGGTGAATAGCACTTCAATTCTTCAAAACAATGGCCAGAGACTGCAGAAATATGAACAAGAAGAGACCAGACAAAAACGTGCTGTTTGTTTTAGATAGAAATTGAAAGAGATTTGATGTCCGCAAGTCACAACCACGGCAAATCCAATAGAGCCGAGAGGTTTGTCTGCACGATAGCGAATCTTGCTCAACATATTTGCCTGAATCCGCATGCAACAGTTTCAGACGATCCTAGGGTGTCAATTTTTTTTGTCCAAAGGAGATGCATTCATTAAATTGGAGGAGACCTCCAACAACAATATGACCGTTTGAACGCCAAGGAAATGAACTTTTCTTGACCTAATAATCCTAGAAAAAAGCATACGATTACCACATTGCTTAGATGTATATCGTAAATTTCTGAATGCTATGATATGGAGCCGGCATGCAGCCTGGTTACATTGTTGAGAGCAGAAAGAAATTGGAAAGAAGATGCACATAGATACATACCTTGTGCAGGACCAGGAAGCCTATGTTCCTCCTCCTGATGATGATGGGGGATCCAACAGAAGATTCAGATTTCCCCGCGTTGGACGCCTGCCGGCCGTCGTCCACGGCAAGCCCACCCCGGCGGGCGGCGGGGGCTCGGAGAGAGGCGGGTGGCGCCGGGGCGGAACGGCCCTTGCCGTTAATAGCAGCCGCTCAAACCGTCGAAACCGGAGGGCGTGGTGACAGGGGATCTGCAAATAGGCCGAGGGAGGGAGCGGCTGGGAACGGGGTTCTGGGAAGGGAAGACGTACGCGCGCGCGGGAGAGGGAGGGCGAGAAAGAAGAGAGGCGACCGACCCCCTCCCACGTCCAAAATTAGTTTGGTGTCAACTGTGGATCCTGCTGTCGTTTTAGGCCTGCGAAATTAGTGTGGTGTGAACTGGACGGCGACGTGCACGCCAGCACGGCCGTTTTGCCGGCGCAGCACAGCACAGCACAATGGCGGGACGTGACAAGGTAAGGCACACGGCGGTGCTTGCGCCACTCAGCTCAGTATTTCGAGTGGCGGTGGCCCTCCTGGCTCAGCTGCATACCGGCTTCAGTTTCTATATGTGAATTTTTTTATCAACGGATAGGTGCTTAGAGAAGTAAGCCGTTTTCCACTTAAGCACTGGAGATTAAGCAAAAGCCGATTTAATTTTCAAACACCTACCTACAATAAGCACTCAAAACATCTAAAAATACACACGCACCGCGCTGCTTGCGATTTCTCAACAATGTCATGGCTACGAGATTATACTCCCTCTGTTTTCGTCTACTTCGCATATTAGCTGTTAGAAATTTTTTGTAGAAAAAATTACGATTACCTAGTGGAGTACAATATCTAATCGATACTAGTAATAATAGATTCATCATTGAATGAATGGTTAAAGTTTACAAAGTTTTGACTTAGGGCAAAGCTAATATGCCAAGCCAACACGTTTTGCAGCGAGCTTCTGATATATTGCTAGTTGCAACTACCCTTTGATGCTTTAGCTGCGAAGAACAACCAAACTGAACATACATACATACGAAAACATGACCTAAAAACAAAAGAAGATAAATCTGGACAAGGTCATGAAGCAAACATGTTTTAATGAACATTTACCAAATAACACCAACACTGATGAAGGTTAACCCAACAAGCATAGGTGAATAGGCTGATAGGCATGCATGTCTGCCGATACTAGTGGCAATTGATGATAGGGCCGACGCCGAATGCAATTTACAATCCTTGAGGATCGGATTACACACAACCAGCAACAAATCGAAGAAACAATGGCCCATAAATTTTTTTCTTGAAGCGACATTTCAGTTGTCCACGATGCAGGTCTTCAACCCATGGCGTACTTCTGCGTCCAGCTGCGGGCTGTCGTCTCATACTTTGACCGGTCCGTCTTGTACATGTGGGCAATCTCAGGAACAAGGGGATCATCCGGGTTGGGATCGGTCAGCAGGGAACAGATAGAGAGCAAGACCTGTATGACATCAAAACACACAACAGATCAATAATGGACAGTAAGCGGTTTCAGGGAAAGTACAAAACTGAACAAACATGCACTCCTTTTGGCTTATGAACAACTTGTCAGTCTCACATGTTAACAAAAGTGTCCCTAAATATGGCAGGGATAGCATGTACGCCCTAAACTAATATAAGAGCGTTTAGATCACTATTTTAGTGATCTAAATGCTCTTATACTAGTTTACAGAGGGAGTAGCAAACAAGTAATGCAAAAATTAGTGGTACTGGAGCAGACTTCTACAAGTAACTAGTATTTTTAGTAATCATATAGAGAGAGTTGTGTGCAAATAGAAAATGAGGATGGTGACGAGGATGACCTTGGAGATCGTCAAAGCAGGGCTCCACTGCTCCTTAAGAATATCAAGGCATATGCTTCCATTGCTGTTGATATTAGGATGGAAGACCTTTGTCTTAAAAGATACCTAGAAAGGGAACATACCAATTAAAATGGCACAAGCATTGGTTAAAATGCATGGTAGGGAGGAATATTAACACCTAAACATTAGAATACTGCACTTAGCAATGTACAAATAGTAGAACAAATGACGCATCCAAGCACCACATGGTCCTCCTAAGTTCTTCAATGTGGATTTTAGTAAAGAAGGAAGATTGAGACGAAACAAAAAAAATATCAGGTGTTGTCTACCAATTGCTATATATGTTAGCAACGGCAACAAGATCATTATAGTGCTGTCATAAACAACATCACCCATGCCATTATAGCATGTCTATCCCACCTCATGAAAACTGAAAAGTGTTTACGTCATGTTCACTTTAAGATCAACTGGACAAAAGGCACAAACAGGACAATCCTATATACTCCCTCCGTCCGAAAATACTTGTCATCAAAATGGATAAAAGGTGATGTATCTCGAACTAAAATACGTCTAGATACACCCTCTTTTATTCATTTTGATGACAAGTATTTCCGGACGGAGGGAGTACCAAATTACTAACAGTGTTACAACTTTGAAAGACCACATCCAGGGAGAAAAGGATATTTCAGAACACACTGCATACCATGTTAGCTACTATATATAACCAAAAGATGATTTTATGGCGGTCCATAAAAGGGCCACACTGATAGTTATAATACCATGAGTGGACATTGAGAAAAGCATCATCAGGAAAGTGCACACAGCGCCTAGCAGGAGTAAATGTTACGACCCCTCTATGCAAAAAGGTGATCACAAGTGTTATGGGCATGACAGGCCCAAAAGAGTCGCAAAGGGCAAATATGGCAGCAGATACAGATTAATTAGCTGTTTCCTTAGTAAGCAAGTTATATTCTAGAGATTGGAGATTGATATTGATATCGCCTATTGTTTATGTGTCGCAGTTAGTATTCTATTATTAGGATATCCATACTCTATAAAAGGACAGGTGAACCAGGGAGATTAATTGACTAAGAAAATATAGAACCATTGCTGTTCTATCTAGCCGGGGAGTGTAACTCCCTGGGTGGAAATAACAGATAAATTTCCAGATTATAATATCAAGGACTATGAAAGCAGGCAGAGCACACATAATGAGGGTTTGCGAATAAGAGGATGCTCCTGAGTCCTATACCTTTGGTGGCTTGAAGGGGTAATCTGGAGGGAAATGAATGTTCACTAAGAAAACACCGCCGGCATAGGGACTGTCAGGGGGTCCCATAATTGTTGCTTGCCAATGAAACATGTCCTCACCAGCAGGACCTAAACAATTTACAAACAAAAATTACAGTCCATGAGATGGCATGCCAGGATAAAACAGGGAACAAAAGGTGTGAACGAAGATAGTGTTGAATGGCATATAGATGTCCAATTAAAACAAGTCAAATTCAAACCTGCGCTGCATGATGTGGGCGGGTCCTTCTGCAGGTCCTTCAGTTCCTTGAGGATGCGCTTTGATGCCATGACAAGCAACCTAGAAGGAGAGAAAAGATGTTCTAGTTACAACATAAGGAGGAAAATATAACTCAAACATTCTACTCAGGAAGCTAAACAATCCATCGAAAACCTATCAGAAGTAGGAACCAGCAGTTCAGCCCAGCACAGAAACATATCAATGTTTCAAACTCCCATGGCCTATGTACTCATGTATTCAGTAAGAAGGGCAATAAGGGATCGAAGTAAACAGCAACCACAAAGCCCAGCTTATGAGAGAAGAAAAAATAGCTCACTAGTACACAATTGCCACTGGTGTGGAATCCTCCCATCGATTCGGGCATCTCGGAGATCATATAAACCTCGAACCTCACATGAATACATGAGACTGGACGAGTGATCCTCGTAATTCTCAGATAATATACTCATATGCAAGCAAGCATGCGACAAACAAGCGAATAATCTTATCTACACAGGACCAAATAATTTTACGCACGCATCGCAGAGAACGTGAATAACCTAACAACCTAGCGGCGACGACCAAACGCGCGGCTCTGGAGAGATCGAACACAATCGAGTCAAATCACTCCAAGGGGCCGCGCACCGAATCGGACTCCCGGCTGACAAAACCCCCCATCGAACCACGAACCCACCGCGGCGGCGACGCGCCAAACCGAACCAAAGCGCAGATCTACCGGTGGGCGGCACCAACCAGCACCGGAACGAAAAACTCTAAGGAAACATGGCGGCGGCGGGGACGGATCCGGATCGGGAGGGCCCGGGGCGGGGCTTACCCGCGCCGATCTGCGACCGGGCAGGGAGAATCACGCGAAAAAAGCTGGGCGGGGGGAGGGAGGCGAAGGTTTCCACACCTTTTGCAGCGAGAGGTTGGGGACGGCGAGGACAGAGGGACGGAGGACGCCTGCCTTTGGTGGTCTTTTTTTCTCCGGGGTCCGCCCCTCGCTTTGTGGTGTCGTGCGCGACGGGTTTGGTTTGAAACCGGGCGCCGGGTCCGTGGCCGGTATTTATAATTGGCCCGGCCGGTCTGCGTTTGGAACGTTCCCCGGTCTTTTTTGTTATTTTCGCTCTCGAAATACCTAATTGTCAGAAGAGTCAGGCAGAGGAATCTATTCGTTTCCGGTACGCGAAAGAGTTTTTTATGGGAAAAAAATTATACGAGACCAGGTCTCATATAAAGCAGGTGAGACCCGTTCTGATGGATGACACATGGCATTCACAAATCACAAAATATCTAATCTTTCCCCCCTGATTTCAAGTGGGGGGTGGGGTAAATGCTTTGTGATTTGTGAATGTCACGTGTCAATCATCAGGATGGGTCTCACCTGCTAATCCGTGAGACTTGGTCTCATAGAATTTTTTTCCATGGTCTACGAGCAAGATGTTCCACATCAGCAAAATCTTAGCTGGAGGAGAGAGAAAGAGAAAGAAGCTGGCGCTTCGTCTATCGCCCGGCGATAGCAGAGGCTTCGATAAAATGCAGCCAGCATGCAGCCTACGCGGAAAATTAAGAGTTATTTACACAAAACAATCACATTGTCTAGGTTAGCAGAATTCATCATCTTTTTGGTAAAAAGAAAGTCGGCCTACCATAATCTCTTTGCAAATGGTACTTCTATTTTTATTCTCAAAAAGATTAAGAATGGCTTCACTAGTTGGATGTTGTTGCCTTGTTTTTAATAAAAATGAGGCAAGAGTGACCCATTTCCATAAAAAAGAGAGAGAATGGCTTCACTGAGCTAGCCTTGAATGTGCTCAATTTGTGCAGTTAAGTTTGTATATAAGGGCATCTCCAACGTCGACTCTCAAACCGTCCGCATACATTCGTCTGCGCTATCCGAATGTGTTGTGTCATCCAACGCGAGACTATATCGGTCCGCCGATTGGTCGAGATGTGTTTTTTTCCGCAAATTGAAAGCAAAGTTGGGGGGCTTTGCAGGAGCGCGGCACCCACGGATGTCGCCGTCATTTGTGTCAAGGCACGAAGCTTTTGCTTAACAACTCGTCCGTGCCACCACGAGGCAACCAGGAGGAGCGCGATGATGTCAGATCCCCAGATCCAGACCAGGACGCCGCCCCTCAAAGAGAGAGGGCACGTCCGAGGTACCCGCTGCAACACCTTCCATTGCCCGCACAACCTGAGAGGAGAGTCACCACCATCGTAATGATGCCCGCCGAAGAGCAATGATGCAAACCGTCATCCGGGGCCACCGCCCGAACATCCCTGTCACGAGATACCGTACGCCGCTTACATCATAGCACACACAATCACGGTAGGAAGAGCGATGACACTCCATCTACTCCTAGTCCGGCATCAGTTCCCGAGTCTGGGTAGGCGCCTCCAACTTCCTAGACCAACTAGCATTTTACTTCTGGCCACAATGTTGTGCCATGAAAATTGCATGAGCAAACGGGCTAGTGCAAAATCACCCACTTGCCAAATCAAATCTTGTAACCCATATCACAAACATTACTAGAACTTTGGCAAACTAGAATTTCATTTCAGACACATTTCCCCATCGTCCTCTCATTCCTCAGCCCATTCGAGAAACATGACGGCGCCATGGAGCAAAGAGAGGATTGGAATGGGAGGCTGTGTGGGTGGAGACGGTGTTGGGGTACGTAGTAATTTCAAAAAAAATCCTACGCACACGCAAGATCATGGTGATGGCATAGCAACGAGAGGGGAGAGTAATGTCCACGTACCCTCGTAGACTGTAAGCGGAAGCGTTATGACAACGCGGTTGATGTAGTCGTACGTCTTCACGATCCGACCGATCCAAGTACCGAACGTACGGCACCTCCGAGTTCAGCACACATTCAGCTCGATGACGATCCCCGGACTCCGATCCAGCAAAGTGTCGGGGATGAGTTCCGTCAGCATGACGGCGTGGTGACGATGATGATGCTCTATCGGCGCAGGGCTTCGCCTAAACACCGCGACGATATGACCGAGGTGGAATATGGTGGAGGGGGGCACCGCACACGGCTAAGGAACGATCCATAGATCAACTTGTGTCATGGGGTGCCCCCCTGCCCCCGTATATAAAGGAGCAAGGGGGAGGAGGCCGGCCCTAGGAGGGGGCGCGCCAAGTGTGGAGTCCTACTAGGACTCCCTAGTCTTAGTAGGATTCCACCTCCCTTGTTGGAGTAGGAGAATGGGAAAGAAGGGGAGAGGAAGAAGGAAAGGGGGGTTGCGCCCCTTGTCCAATTCGGACCAGAGGGGGGCGCATGCCTCCTTCCTTTTGGCCTCTCTCCTCTATTCCCGTATGGCCCAATAAGGCCCATATACTCCCCGGCGAATTCCCGTAACTCTCCGGTACTCTAAAAAATACCCGAATCACTCGGAACCTTTCCGAACTCTGAATATAGTCGTCCAATATATCGATCTTTACGTCTCAACCATTTCGAGACTTCTCGTCATGTCCCCGATCTCATCCGGGACTCCGAACTCCTTCGGTACATTAAAACTCATAAACTCATAATATAACTGTCATCGAAACCTTAAGCGTGCGGACCCTACGGGTTCGAGAACTATGTAGATATGACCTAGAACTATTCTTGGTCAATAACCAATAGCGGAACCTGGATGCCCATATTGGCTCCTACATATTCTACGAAGATCTTTATCGGTCAAACCGCATAACAACATACGTTGTTCCCTTTGTCATCGGCATGTTACTTGCCCGAGATTCGATCGTCGGTATCTAATACCTAGTTCAATCTCGTTACCGGCAAGTCTCTTTACTCGTTACGTAATACATCATCTCACAACTAACTCATTAGTTGCAATGCTTGCAAGGCTTAAGTGATGTGCATTACCGAGAGGGCCCAGAGATACCTCTCCGACAGTCGGAGTGACAAAACCTAATCTCAAAATAAGCCAACCCAACATGTACCTTTGGAGACACCTGTAGTACTCCTTTATAATCACACAGTTACGTTGTGACGTTTGGTAGCACCCAAAGTGTTCCTCCGGTAAACGGGAGTTGCATAATCTCATAGTTACAGGAACATGTATAAGTCATGAAGAAAGCAATAGCAACATACTAAACGATCAAGTGCTAGGCTAACGGAATGGGTCAAGTCAATCACATCATTCTCCTAATGATGTGATCCCGTTAATCAAATGACAACTCTTTTGTCCATGGCTAGGAAACTTAACCATCTTTGATTCACGAGCTAGTCAAGTAGAGGCATACTAGTGACACTATGTTTGTGTATTCACACATGTATTATGTTTCTGGTTAATATAATTCTAGCATGAATAATAAACATTTATCATGATATAAGGAAATAAATAATAACTTTATTATTGCCTCTAGGGCATATTCCCTTCAGACGGCGGCGGCGGCGACAACAACAACGCGCTAGCGCATGGTTTGGGGAAGGAGAAGATTAACAGGTCGGCCGTTGGCAACATGGGCTTTGATAGATGGACGTGGCTAGGCAGCGCTCATGCGCTGGATGAATTTCTCGAGCGCATCCACCATATTAGGTAATTGATGTGACATGTCATTTTAGCCTACCAAAAAAGGAAAGTGCGTAGTCTTGCATCCTCAAGTTACCTCAGCCAAGAGACCACGTGCATTTATTTGGGGTTTCAAAAAATTTAAAAAGTCATAACTTTTGATTCGAGTGTCCGAATTTAGATCCGTTTTCACTATTGGGTTTCTCGCGACGAGTTCTTCAAAAATAGATCCCATATGAGTAGGTTTCGATAAACTTCTTTTTCGGAGCAACTTTGTGTCCTACGGAGGCAACTTCAGTGCTATAGGAAAGCAACTCATTTTCCCCATAGTATGACTACCTATCAGCAAAGGATCCTTCTAAAATTAGTTAGCATGACTATCAATTGACTAGCTTCACCTCTAAATTTCCTGCCATAAGGACACCCAATCACCCAAAATGTCGGGATAGGCCTCTCTAGACACCTTTAACCATCCAATGACGATCACCTAATTTGTTTGAACAAGTCCGTACGTCCGAAATCCTTCAGACTGAACGACAAG